GTTTTTGGTTTTCCCATTTTTCCTGGTTTTCCTGCATTTTTTGCCCTGTTTTCACCATGTCTCCCTGTTCCCCCATTTGCTGTTTCTCCCTATTTTCCCGCTTGCCCCTATTTTCCCTGTTTGTCCCTTTTCCCCATTTTTCCCCATTCTCCATTTCGTTGCTGTGCGTGGACTGAAAATACAGCAATAGATAGACTATTGTGTTTCCTGTATTCTAGAATTTCAGACTTTGAAATGTGAAGTATATATGAAATGTAGGGCTTGGCTCTTTTGATTTACAAAGATTTTCTTACCCTGTTTGACCTGCTAGTCAGCTGGTTGAGGTACTTGTTTGAATAAATGAACTGCAGAACTGGACCCTGTCGTGCAAGAGCTCTAAATACGCTGGCAGATGAAACCTTTTTTCAGCACGTGATTGCAGCCTAGCGTGATGATTCGTGCTGTATCCAGTGCTACTACCTATGTTTGAATTACTCTTCTGTAAAACTGTGAAGAGGAGTGGGTTTTAATGTAGAAGGAATTACATGTGGCATATTAGTTATGTCACTGGATCAAGCCTTGTGTGTCTTTGATAATGGATATATAGAATGTGTCTAAATTCTTTGTTTTTTCTTTGGTCAACTTTCAGCAAAATCTTAAAAAAGTTTCTGATGTGGTTACTGTTCTGCAGTGAAATTCAGAGCTTATCCATGGTCCAAAGCATGCAGTTCATGCTTTTACGTTTGTAAATCTAAAGGATGCACTTCAATGTTTGCAAAGATTGGTCTTAACTTTTGAAAGGGAATTTTCATCACAAAACTCGTAACTGTTACATTAGGGACAACACAAGAATGAACTGTGCTGTCAAAATTAAAGGCTTCATTAGGGAAGACCTTCAAGTTAAAAGGAAATGTCGTTCATTTTTTCATAGGAAACATGCTGTTTCCAGTAGCTCAAGTTAATGGAACTTCTTTCTGTCTGCTAGTTCTTCCTTACCCCCTTGTTTGAGTTACTGTTTGTGTGTCTCAAAAGGTATGTTGTTTTGGTTTTTTAATGCTGTTTATCAGCAGTATGGCACTAAGCAATGTTTCTTGTTGGTTGCTATGTGCTTTCAGACGACTACAGGACTATGCTGCTTGCAGAGGCTCTGCTGGAAGAATGTTTGAAGGAAAACTTTGCCAAACTGAAGGACTCCATTCCACTGACAGAGAAGAATGAGCCAAAACTGGGTGAAGCTAAACAGTATTTGACCAATATCTTAAGCAGAGGAAAACTACGAGTAAGTGGGCTCTGTTGTCTTAATTCTTGCCAACTGGATGTGTCTTTCATATGATTATCAGTCTGATGCAAGGTGTTGGCATTGCCTGTCCATGTCCCTGTATGTACAGTGCTGTGTTTATAGGTGTTAATAATGGACTGGTAATTCAGTACCCCTTTGCAGTGCCTTCTGTTGGGAGACTCGCTTTTTCATATGCAAACAAATTACGTGCTACAACTATATATCCTGGGTTTTTTTTTATTAGAAAGAAGCAGGATAAATATTTAGTAATCCTCTGGGCTGGTGGGGCATGGCCACTTCAGGCTAGCACAGCTGAGTGACTTGCTGCTGCTCCTGGGCTGAGGGAATTGTGTACACCTGGTCAGCTCCAGTCAGAGGTAAAATGTGCCGCAAGCTGCTGTCAAGCACTTAAGGTTGTGGTGTGAGTCCAGGATTACAGCTTTACATTGCTTTTGGTCTCTGCTAGAGATGTTATGAGAGGTTATGCTTTTATTTTGTGGTCTGGATGTGTGGTTGGTAGCTGCCTGCCAACTTAGCTGCAGAACTTTGGGAGTGTTGTAAGACTCTGCCTCGATGGCTGCTGCTGTGTTGGTGTCCTTGGACGCACAGTTGCGTAACTGGCTTTAAAAAGACAATGAATTACAACACTCTGTTCCAGACTTGTATTACGTTTGGTCCTGAAATTTAGAGGCTAGTTAGCTTCAAAGTGTATGTTACACTTTTATTACGTTATTTTCCAGGGAACATGTGTGCAGTGGCTTTTCTGGGGGAATTCCTTGTTCTTAACTTCTTGAAAGTCAGCGTATTTAAAAAGTAAAAATGAGGGGGGAAGGAAGAGGAGTCCATCCAACCCTCTTTCTTTATAGTTTAGCACCAGTAACAGAGCCAGAACCACTGAATTCTTCCAGGTCATCTTGTTAAGTTTGGCTGCATGAATTGCCGTTACTGGTTTTTTGTTAGTGGTAACTTGGCTACTCATGCAGCATTGACCCCGTGTTGACTGCACGTATTAAAAAGAGGAGTGTCAAGGCTAGGAACCTTTTCATGCTTTCCAAAGCATAAAAAGGGTCTGAACGGATGTATCTTACTGAATTCTTTTTTGTTACACAGATTTGTATGCATGATTTCAATCCTTAAGAAACCAAACAAGTCTCAAAAATAGCAGACATGCCTTCTGGTTTTCTACTTTTGCCTGAAAATTCTTTGAGAACTTTAAGAAAATTTGGGAGGTTTCTCACTCTTTAATTAAATGTACAGAGGAGAGGGGAGCACTTTACTAAAAAGTGATGCTTTCTTCCTAGTTTAAAAGCAGGGGATTTCCTTGGTGTATATGTAGGTAGTTCTGACAACGGCAGGCTTTTATGTGTTGTCTGAGGCTGGTGAATCAAGAGTAGGTCAGCTGAAATGAAAGAGGTGGCTTGTAAGCTGTGTATTTCCAAACTGAGCTCCAAAGTAGTTGCCTGACTTCTGTTGCCTGCTGCTCTCATGAATATAGCTGTAGGATCTCTAGACACTTAAATCCTTCCTACTGTGGCCTGCAGAGCTAGCAGTATTGAGAGGAAAGCATTTTGAATCTGCTTAATCTGTTCTGAAGTACCTCATTCTTGCTGTCTGGTATTTTACCATGTAAACACTCTTTTCCTGTCCCTGCTCTGTTTCAGCCTAAGCATATGACAGAAGCTATGCTGATCCTAGGAAAGCTTCATTATGTGGAGGGATCCTACAGAGATGCCATCAGCATGTACGCAAGAGCAGGAATTGATGACCTCTCGACAAAAGATGAACCTCTGTACCTGCTGCGTTTGGTAACTGAAGCCTTTGTTATTAAAGGTAAAGGGCTATGCATGCATATTTGAAGTATGCTGTGTTTAGGCTGAAGTTGAAGGTATTTCTCCAAGTGATTTGATTGGAGCAGAGTTAGGGCAATGTTGTCTGCTTTAGAAAATCCTACTGGGTATGGCCTGTGTAGTTTAAACTTAAAGGCATTATGGAGTCTTAGTCCATGGTTTTTAAACTTGGCTGGCTTGTACAGAAGAGCTTGAAATTGGAAATCTTGTGGAGGTTTAGATTGGATATTAGGAAAAATTTCTTCACAGAAAGGGTAGTCAAGCATTGGAACAGGGTGCCCAGAGAGGTGGTGGAGTTACCATCCCTGGAAGCGTTCAAAAAATGGGTAGATGTGGCACTTTGGGACATGGTTTAGTGGGCATGGTGGTGTTGGACCGATGGTTGGACTGATGATCTTAGAGATCCTTTCCAACCTTAATGATTCCTATCTTTTACTTTCATTAAAAAATAATCCAGCCACAAAGCCAGGAAACGTGAAATTACTACTCTCCCCTTAATTGGTTTAGTGGTGGACTTGGTAGTGTTAGGTTAATGGTTGGACTGGATGATCTTAAAGGTCTTTTCCAACCTAAACGATTCTATGATTCTAACTGTTGGCTCTAAGTCAGCAACACTCTCGAGCTTGTGTATCCATTTTTGGGAAAATCTAAATCAAGCACGCAGCTGAATTGGGGCCTGTGCTTTCTCTTAGAAAGGGTTCGTCTACTTGTAAATTTTAATGATTTCTGTGAATTAAGCAAGGATGATGTTTCCAAGTTTTAAACTCTGGACTAACAGAATATGTGCTTTCAAAGCAGGTAGTATATTTTTGCAATGCATGTCACACAGTATCAGACCTTATGTACAAACAGGAATCTCTCCTCCCCCTTTTAATTCTACAGACATTGCACTGTTTGAGAGATCCTAATAAAAACTGCCTCTATGGGTAGCGAAATTGCATTTCCTTTTTGAGTGGGGGAAAGGAAGACCCTAGTCAGTTTTTGACTTGGGGGGGTTAAAGATCAGTAATCTTCTCTTTCATTTGCTTTCAGTTCCTTTATAAATGTTGCTTAAGTACTGCTACCTATCTACTGCTTTCTACTCTTTCCAGCATGTCCACCAGCTAATTAGGTGAATGAGAACTCTGATGATCAGATACCTTCAACTGGTATGTAAAAGAGTGAAACCAAATCAACCCAAAATACTGTTTGACTGGGCTGCTAGTATTACTGATAATAATTTGGGTGGTTCATGATCTCACACAGTCATTCTGCTTTTTTGAAAACCTGTTTGTGCTGCTTTGCTTGCTTTAATTTGTTTTCTGTGGCACTGGTTGAATCTGCTTCATTAACAAGCTTTCGTGGAGCAGGACTAATTTACTTGTAACTCACACTAATGCTTGCATGGTGCAGAGGAGTGAGTAACTGCCAGTGCATTCATAGCAGTGTGAGTTTGAGAGCAAATACTGGTGCACTCCAGAGTCTGAAGGAGATGCACTATCCTCACTGGACACTGGATAAGGCCCTTGGTGAGGTGTGAATGTAATGGTAACATATGCATGAGCACTGATGGAGTAACACTGTTCCTGTAAGGCCTCTCCTATGGTATTGACTACCTCACTTGCATATGAAGATATGGGGGGTGGAGGTGTTTGTCTCAGAGGATCAGGCCGTAATTTATTTTTTCCCATGTGGTTTGGCACGGAACGTAAATATTGTGTTGCCCCTGTGTTTGTGTGTAAACCGTAAGGAGCCCCTGTCATTGCGGAGCAACCTCTGTGCTATTACTGTTCCACAGTTTTTATCTTCCATGTGATTATTTTCAGATTAGCCAAGATATCAAGGGTATAGTAAGTCACTTAGTATTCTACCAGAGTTTCTGACAGGGAAAAGTCCAGCAGAGTGGAGCTTGTCTGGCTGAGTTTGGAGAGGACACTCACTGCTAGGATCACTGTTCCCCCATGCCATGTGCTTGACCTTCCAGTCTTAGAGAAATAAGCCCTTAAATGTTAGAAATTTGTACAGGTAACTATGGCAATAGCAGTGTGCATTTAAATTTTCATTTCAAAACATGTCTGTCCAGGCTACCTCTGCAGGGCAAGTAACAGCGTGAAGTTGAATTATTTAAAATTCATTTATACTTGATGCTAAAGATTTTTCTTATTCCCCTTTTTCATTTGGTGTCTCTGCAAAATTCTGTTGATCCGTGCTATATTATTGCCTTTGGTTGAACTAATGTTAGCTTACACAAGCTGAAACCTTCTTTAAAGACACTCTTGAACATCACTGGTAGTAAAATTTTTGCAGGGATCATCATTAGGCAACAGTCCAGAAAAGCCACAGTCCTGTCTTTATTTCAGGGCAGAATTTAGGTTCCCTACTTAATTTCTTATTCAGATTTTCAGTAGTGGGAGAAAGCAGTTGGTTTAAAAGAATATCCCTGTTGGTCTAGCATTAGTTAAACACCAGAACTTTAGTATGAACCTGAAACCACCGTGGTTTTGTATAGCTAGTACTTCTGGGTTGTGCTTATATGCAGAATGCCAGTGTAGGTTCTTAAGCACTCAGGATTATGCTGGAAAGGTCATGGAGGACAGAAAAGTCAAATCAAAGGCACTCATCCTTTTGCTGTTGGAAACAAACAAAAGTGTAATGAGAAAGACATGGGATACACTGGGAGGAGCTGCATAGATGAAGTCAGTGGTAGAAATTAAATGTGAACCAGCAAAACTGAGTTTGCTTTTTTTAGGGCACCTTTTGAGCTCCACAACACTTAAGGCTGGACACTGACCTAATCTCTGGGGTCTTCCTCTGAAGATCTACAGCATGTAGTAGGTTCATATTGTGGTAAGAAGCAATATGGATTTGCACCCATGTGATTGCACTGCAGAAGCTGAACAGGGAAAAAGGTTTCTTGCTTGCCTTGCTCAGTAGATTTCCACCCAAGGTGAGTATCAAGCAGTAAATGTTGAAGTTCTTTATAAATGTGGGGACTTGAGCAGTTGACAAGTCACAGGAGAGATGGCAGAGAGGGCAAGACTTTTCCAGTTTCTCAGCTGACTGTTTCTGCTTGTCCCTGTTGTGAGGCGAGGAGAAGTTCTGAGGGCACTGTGAGTGGAGCTCTGACAACAGTTTGATTTTTCGCGATGACTAATTTTAACCTGTATGGTTAGTTAATAGGTGGTTCGTCTGTACTTGTCTACTTCCTCCCTATCCTCCTGAAGTTAATTTTTCCTTAAAACCTCTGCTCAGTTCACAGTACTGCAGGTAATCTCTGATGTAAGCAGTTCTGTCTGTTGCATAAAACAGTATCGAGGAAGCAAACTTGCTTTCATTTTCCTTCTAATTCACTTGGGGCATGTTGTGGCTTCGTTACCTGGCGTTGTCCATTTGAAACAAGCAAGAAAAAAAGACTTCAGAACAACGTGTGTAACTGCCAGAGCCCGTTGATTTCCCTCTGGCTGTGCTTGCTGCAGAAACCCTGCAGAGATATCTCTCTGCTCCCAGTGGATAAATATTCCTGGTAGTAGGGTAGGTCACAACCTAACCCTTTACAAAGCAAAGTATAGCTCTATGACTTCAGCATACCTAAATTTCGAGTTTGTACAAAGGCTCCTATGTTGTTGCAGTGTTTGTTGCACAGCCTTTCTTGCTGCGCTGCATGACAGCATGCTGAGAGCTGTGTTAACTGAAGGAGACTGCTGCCAGCCTGAGTGATGAAGGCTCAGGCAGGGCTGATGTGGCGTGAGGGTCCTGTCTTTGTAATGACTGAGAGGGCCTTTGGCTTGCAGTCAAGATGTGTGGCTTCAGAGCTGCTGCAAGGCGAGTCAGCCCTGTGTGGAGGAGCTCCTTGTGCCCATCAGGCCAGCTGTCAGGCCAGGCATTGGACTTCCTCCACCTGGAGGGGGGTAGCCTGGAGATAGGTGGCTATCTAAATCTGTGCAGCGATGACACAGGACTGCAAATGGTATCTAGCTGGTTTGCTAGTGAGTTAAAGCTTTAACAGTCCACTGCCTCTTTCGCCTTTTCTCCTAGTCCATCCTGCAGTAATTTTTGTGTTGTTACTGGCCACTTCCAGCTCGGGGTGGGTTTAATTTGTGCAGCTCCAGTCTGAGCTCTCTGTACAGTCAGAATTTGGCAGTTCTGGGGTGATTCATCAACTCTTCAAATGGCATCTGACATGGATGAAGTGCGTGGTGTCATACAATACAGCCTCCTCTTTGGCAACTGTGAGAGGAGGCTGTGGACTGACTTGTTCGTGGGTGTCTAAAGATGGGTGAGATGAACCCCTTGTAAATTTGTTTCTAAAAGGTTTTTTTTTTTTTTGAAAACTTTAGAAAAGAGAGCCATTGTATCAAAAGGCTGCAGTGTGAGCTCAGCCTTTTTAGATCCTAGAAAAATCCATGTGGAAGAGAACAAGGTGATACTGTGTCTGTAAGAAGCCTTGATCATAGTCTGTGTTTTGTTATAACAAGTCCAACCACAAGCCACAAGTACAAGGAAATGAGACTTCGTTAGTTCAGTGGCTCAGAGCAGTCTCCATTTTGTTCTTGAATCCACTTAAGTCATTTAAAGATGTTTAAAATCTGTAGTGTGACACTTCTGAAGAACCGTAAGAGAAACACTGCTGGATTGAGCCACTGGTCTTTAGAGACCTCCTAAGAGCTGTGAATGCTGTTGCTGAAAGCAACACCCTGAATCTACCACCTGAGGGTTTTTTTTTCCCAAGCTTGATAATGTTAAACAGCCTGGAGCCTGCATCCAGGGTTCTGGGTTCAGTCCAGCGCTTTGTGGGTTTTTAGGGTTTTTTGTTTGTTCATTTTTAGGACAAACTGCTGATCTTAGGTGGTTTCCTGTTTCTTTCATGGTTGTATCTTTTAAAACTTCAATGGTAATGAGGTCAGTATTGCTTGGAAGTATATTGTTCTGCTTTCTCCCCAGGTGAAATCTTTGTCTTTGGTTTGTAATACTGGAAGTGGTTGTTTGGAGGTTATGGTGGTGTCC